TTGTACTTTTAAAAAAAAATTTATTAAACATAAATCTATACCTATACTATTATTAAAAGTGTAAAGAGTTTCAGTATTTTCGTACTTGAGTGTTTATTTATTAATATAAAAAAATGTTTATTAACTAATATAAATTACCTATTTATCTATTTATTTTGAGTTTTTTAATAAAAAAAAAATCTAATTAGACAAGAATTTTTAATATAAAAAAATAGAAAAGAATTATAAGTGTAAAAAATATTTATTAATTGATATATAAAAAAATATATATATCTATAAAATTCTACCACAAATCAGTAATTTTATTTTCTATAAAACACTATCACATATAACCTGTATTTATCTATTTTTGAGTTGTAGAGAAATTATTTTATTTTTTATATCAATTAATAAATATTTTTTATATTAATAATTATTGTCTAATTAGATTTTCTTTTATTAAAAAAAGTCATAAATATTTTATAGAAATTCTTTAAAAAACTCTTTTTATATCAATTAATAAATATTTTTTATATTAATAATTCTTTTCTATTCTTTATATTATTAATTCTTGTCTAATTGGATTTTCTTTTATTAAAAAACTCATAATAAATAGATAAATAGGTAATTTATATTAATTAATAAACATTTTTTATATTAATAAATAAATAATGAAATACTGAAACACTAAAATACTGAAACTCTTTATACTTTTAATAACAAAATAATTTCTATAAAATCTACCACAAATTAGCTACTTTATTTTTTATAAAACTTTGTCACAATATATATTTATTATAACTTTTTTAATAAAATAAAATCTAATTAAACAATAATATATTTAACGAAAATAAAATAATTTCTATAAAATTCTAATACAAATCAGCTATTTTATTTTCTACAAAACTCTATCACATATAACTCATAGAGCGGGAGCGAGTGCGGGAGCGAAAATGAGAGCGGGAAAGCATCAAAGCCAAAAAAATTTGGGAGCGGGAGCGTCTTGAGAGCGTCTGTATATTAGGTTTAAATAAAATTATATCAGTTAATAACATATATATTTTATATATTTTTATTTATTTAAATCTATATGCAAATATATTCATGATTATTTATTCCATTAATGATATATGTAATAAATAAGTTAACTTTTCCCGTGATTTATTTGTAATATTCTCTAATTGGGAAGTTTTTTTAGTAGTATATTTTCAAACGTGTATAATTAATATATATTGTAGTATAGAACCACCATAGCACACTGAAATTTAATTAATATATATATTGAGTAATAATGTAAGTAATAAATGCATATATGGTAGTATAGGTGCTCCATATTACTGAGACTCTAATAAATTTAGCTATATAAAGTAAATTAGTAGGGAAATCGCGAATTAGGAAAACAAATTCGCGAATTACAAAAATTGAATTCGCTCCCAAATCGCAAATTCGCGTGCGGAGCTTGAGAGCGGGGCCTTTTTCAACGAATTGTGTGACTAAACATCTTTCAACGAATTGTGTGACTAAACATATAACCTGTATTTATCTATTTATTATGAATATATTTAAAGAAAATAAAATAATTTCTATAAAACTCTATCATAAATTACCTATTTTATTTTCTTTAAAAATCTATTACATTTATCCTGTATTTATTTACTTATTATGAGTTATTTAATAATAGGAAATTTAATTAGACAATGATATATTTAAAGAAATAAAATAATTTCTATAAAACTCTACCACAAATTACCTAATTTATTTTGTATAAACTATCATATTAGACAAGGATATATTTAAAGAAAATATATAATACATATAATAATACATATAAATAATAAAATAAAATTATTTAAACTATAAAGAGTTTCACTTTTTCAGTATTTATTTATTAATATAAAAAATGTTATTAATTAATATAAATTAGCTATTTATCTATTTATTATGATGTTTTTATAAAAGGAAATCTAATTAGACAAAAATTATAAAAAATATTTATTAATTAATATAAAAAGAGCTTTTTAAAAACTTTCTATAAAATTCTAACACAAATGACCTAATTATCTATTTATTATGAGTTTTTTAATACAAGAAAATCTAATTAGACATGAATTATTAGTATAAAAATATTTATTAATTGATATAAAAAATAAAATATTTTCTCTACAACTATAAAATAATTCCTATTAAATTTACCACAAATTAGCTATTTTATTTTCTATAAAACTCATCACAATATCTATTTATTATGACTTTTTTAATAAAATAAAATCTAATTAGACAATAATATATTTAAAGAAAATAAAATAATTTATATAAAATTCTTCTACAAATCAGCTATTTTATTTTCTGTAAAACACAATCACATGTAACATGTATTTATCTATTTATTATGATTATATTTAAAGAAAATAAAATAATTTCTATAAACTCCACCACAAATTACTTATTTTATTTTCTTTAAAACTCTATCATATATATCATGTATTTATCTATTTATTATGAGTTATATAATAAAGGAAATCTAGTTAGACAAGGATATATTTAAAGAAAATAAAATAATTTCTATAAAACTCTATCAAAAATTACCTATTTTATTTTCTATAAAACTTTATCACATTAGAGAAAGATATATTTAAAGAAAATATATAATATATATAATAATACATATAAATAAAATATAAAAATTATTAAAAGTATGAAGAGTTTCAGTGTTTCAGTATTTATTTATTAATATAAAAAATATTTATTAATTAATATAAATTACCTATTTATCTATTTATTATGAGTTTTTTAATAAAAGAAAATCTAATTAGACAAGAATGATTAAAAATAATTATTAATTGATATAAAAAGAGTTTTTGTAAAGAATTTTTATAAAACTAACACAAATTACGTATTTATCTATTTATTATGAGTTTTTTTAATAAAAAAAAATCTAATTCGACAAAAATTATTAATATAAAAAATATTTTTTTATTGATATAAAAATAAAATAATTTTTTATAAAATCTACTATAAATTAGTTATTTTATTTTATATAAAACTCCATCACAATATCTAAATAACTTTTTTAATAAAATAAAATCTAATTATACAATAATATACTTAAAGAAAATAAAATAATAGTGTTTGCGATGTTGATATCGCTCTTAAAATTTCAATATTTAAACTTTAGTCAATTCTCTTAAAAATATACTCCATAATATATATATATATTTTATTTTTATTAACTAACAATAGTTATTTATTAAAATATTTAAGGTGTAGGTCATTTTAGATTGACAATTAATAAAACACTTTGTAATTAGATATTCATACTTTTCTTTATATTTTTCTTATATTGATATTTTTACAAATTAATTAAGCTCGAAACAATAACTGACTAATTTGTCTATCTTGCAATTAATGGCATTTTTGACGAGTCATTAATTAGTCAACACATTTTTTTTATAAAAAATTTAGAAGTCATCTTGTATTCTTAACAAAATTTGTCCTTTTGCCACCATAAGTTATTTTGGTCGTTAATACATTGTCTAATTGCGACCAAAATTTGAGCATTTTGCAACGATAAAATTTGGTTGTAAAAGATCAATCCTTTTGCGACCAAAAATTATTTTGGTCGTTAATACCTTGCCCAATTGCGACCAAACTTTGATCATTTTGCAACCATAAAAATTGGTCGTAAAAGATCAATCCTTTCGCGACCATAATTTATTTTGATCGTTAATACTTTGACCAATTACAACCAAACTTTGATCATTTTGCAACCATAAAATTTGGTCATAAAAGATCAATTCTTTCACGACCAAATTTTTTTTTGGTCGTTAATACTTTGACCAATTACGACCAAACTTTGATCATTTTCCAACCATAGAATTTGGTCGTAAAAGATCAATTCTTTCGCGACCATAATTTATTTTGGTCGTTAATACTTTGACCAATTGCGACCAAACTTTGATCATTTTGCAACAATAAAGTTTGGTCGTTAAAAATTAATCATTTTGCGACCATAATTTAATCATTTTGGTCGTTAATATGCTTCTCAATTGCGACCAAAATTTACTTTGGTCGTTAATATGCTTCTCAATTGCAACCAAAATTTACTTTAGTCGCTAATATGTTAACTTTTACGACCAACTCATTTTGGTCGCAAATAACATAGTATTTGCGACTTTTTCAATTTGGTCGCAAATAATTTAGTCACAAAAGGCCCTGTTTGTTGTAATGAATGGATTTTCATTCCAATGGAATAGTTATTTCCACTTTAAATTGCATATCAAATAAATAAATGGTTGGAATGAGTATTCCATTCTATTTCTACACACCAAACGCAACATTACAGTTTAAGAGGGATTGGGCTCACTTAGATCCTCACTTCTAGCCTGCGAAAAATAGAAAAAAGTTCAAGTCATATGGGTGTGGAATTAGTGTAATAATTGCAGAGACTACTAAGGGCATAATAATGTTCGAGTAAGAGTGCTATTAGCACTTCAAGTTAGTTTCATATAAATGCTCATTATAACCATATTAGGGTTGTGTGTGTTGAGAGGCCACTTTGGTCTTGCTATATTGAAAGAGGAAAAGTGTAGAGAATTACACATCTCTATAGTTTAAACCTCACTCTACTACATCCATGGAGGCTCCCACATAGCCAAGACTTAAGCTTTCTCAAGGACATAGGAGTGAAGACTTTGGAGTGGAGCTAAGGTTTGCAAAGGAGGAAGAAAAAGGATTTGGACCTAAGAATCGCCTTGGTGGAGGTGATTCTTCTATTAGGGTAAGTCTCCAACAACCATTTATGTGTTCTTTTGCATCATTGATTTATCCTTCAAATAACTAACGGCTCTTTAAAGGAATGTGCTTAATAGCATTGATTTTTATTTTGAATATAAGGGCCTAATTAAAGTGCCTATTTTATTTTATTTTATTTCTTAATAATAAGAAAGTTATATGAAAAACGTTTGTCGTAGGAGTGGGCTATCAAGCAATTAACCCAAAAGTTGCACAATTCTTGAAGAAGCTAGAGAAGTCTTCTGATATTCCAATATTTTAATGACTCATTTTTACACACACACACACACACATATATATATATGTATAACCTTTTTACATAAAATTGATCCATTGCCCTTAGAATCAAGCACTCCTAGGCTCCTACCCAAATGAGTACATATAACCAAGCACTCCTATATATATATATATATATATATATATATATATATAGATTATTTCCATCCCATGCAAGAAAGTGCCATCCTTAATGGATGATAATCAGGTGCAAATTAACTAAGTGAATATCCCAACAAAATTAATACACCATTAATTAATGTACGTACCACCAATGCAATTAATGAAGTAGCTACAAAAGTAATTATTATTATTTATATATATATGGTTAGAAAATGATTATATAATTTGGTAATTAAGAAGACTATATATATATATATATATATATTACTTTTTAAGGAAAGAAAAGCAAAATGATGGACGGGTTGGAATAATATTCAGAGATAGATGTCAGCGGGAGGGATAAAGGAGTCGATGGAGAGGCCCGGGACGTCAAAGACGACGTCGTCGATCCTCCATACTTCTTCCATTCTGGTTCTACTGTGTTGTACGGACACCTCGCCGAAGCGGAAAACGGTGGCGATGGTCCTCCCTTGGTGAGCGATGAGGACGCCATCGACGTCTCTGTAGTCTGCGATACTACTACCGATGGTGGTCTCCCAATACACCGTATCATTCCCCGGGGATTGCGATTGAACTCTGGTGAGGTGAGAGTCCTCCATGTAGATGAGGAGCCCATTCTTTTGGCTGAAGTAGCCATACAACACGTGCCTTATCACTTCCGCTGGACCTTCGTTTCGTTCCATCACAGCCGCACGATCTGCTGCCACTTTCAACACGAAGCAATCCTCGTCGCCTATTCTTTTCTCCCCTAAACATTGAGCTTTCGCGAATAGCCTTGCTGTGCTTTTTGGATCTAACCCCTGCATGCGCACATTCCATTTCATTCAAATACATACATATATATATATATATATATATATATATATATATATATATATATATTGCTTTCAATCTCTAGCCATATATATAGAAGTTAGAGGTTGTATTTATTGGTATTTTTCAAGCACTGTTTATAATACTCACAGTAATTAGTCTCTCCTTACAAATTAGTTGCCGATTACACCCTACTATATATAGGGCAAGTGGAGCAATTAATTACTTCTCGTCCAATAAAAAAGGTTAGAGAACATGACTCTCAAAAATTAAATTGTCATGATTCTCTCTGAAAGTAAAATATTTTTCTTTCTTGAAATGGATGTAGTATTTTTTAAAAAATAGTACAATTTGGAGTACAAAAATGAATGGATACAAACAAAACTGCAATAATAGACTACTCCTAAGAGTCCCAAGATTTTTTATATTTTTTTGGTCATTGAAAAAAAAAGGTTTTATATTTTCGAAGAGTTGATAATTTAAAAACCATATAAAAAAATATGTTTAGTTTAATTTTTTGAAAACTCATTTAGAAAAAAAAATTGTGTTTTAGAGAATTATAAAATAAATATATAATTAATTTAAAATAAATTTTTTTTTAAAATTCCTGTAAACTGTATTTTTTTGAATGACATACAAGCCAACCCATATTACTTTCAAAGTCAATAGAATAATTTTTGATATATAGTTAAGAGTTAATTAAGGTGCTAGGAGACAAAATTGCATCTGAAGTTAGTCTATATAAAATTAAGGAGAGGTTGTCTATTCGAATCTCAGTAAGACAAAATACGGTAACTGTTTGTTTGTTTGCCCTTTCCAAAATATAAAAATAAATAAAATAAAGTTAAAAAGCAATAATACAATATATATATATATATATACCCTCCAAAGTGTAGAGCATGGTACGTAGGTGAGAAAACCAAGGAGTTTTGGCCAACTGTTGGCTGCTTCACCAAACCAAAGTGGAGTATTCAAAGGTAGGAGTAGAATAATTAGATATATGTGCCCTGCCTGCCCTACCCTGCCCGGTAAAGTAAGGGACAGTTTCTCCATCTTTGTCAGCCTCACCCAATTGATTTGGTGCAGAATCTATCAATGATCTATTATTGTTTCTTGGGATTGCAGCATATTTCTCTTTACAACAAATTCACTCCATTATTACTAGTCTTTGGAATGGGGAACTTCCCTTTTTCAGTTTCGTTCACACCGCTTATAGTATTACTAGTTCCACTTTTTTCAACTTTAATCCAAAATAAAATAAATTATTTTTAATTATATATATTAAACTCTGTATTATGTGTATAGCTCAAACCTCCTAAGGAGTAGTAACATTTATTTTAGGGGCTCATGAACAAGAATCTCTCTTCATTCAATTGTTAATGGAACAATAAAAATATCAAAATGCCCTTTTTATAATAAAAAATAATAATAATAAAATTTAGTTAATTAATTCAAAGTAACTACTATTGGAGTCTTTATTAAATATATATATATATATATATAAAGCGTAAAGAGAATTTTTTGTATTTAATACAATTAACTAGTCATGGGTGAAACACGTGATTTATTAATGGTTGATTGTTGAAAATTCTTAATATGGAATATTTTTAAGGGATACCCAAAGTAAAAAGAAGGTATTATTTGCTCAAAAAATAAACTTCTAACAAACATGAAAGAATATATATAGTTAACTTTCAAATATATATTTACCCTTTAAAATTATTTTTTACATCGGTTTACTTTTGATATATATATATATATATATATATAGATATATATATGTGATTTTACAATTTTATTTTGTTTTATTTAATTATTTTTTGAAGAGAAGTATGTAAGTGGAGAACAAACATATATAATAAAATAAAATGTGTGTATTGCCTGAATAATTTTTTCTGTTAAAACATCATTCATGTTTTTATTTTATTTTTTTGAAAAGTTAAACATCATTCATGAATCATTTCAGTGGGGTGTTTTATGTTTTTGCCATCGGCTAACATAGTGTATCACTAATATTAATTCATGAATAATTATATGCATCGTTTGGGTTGGGAGGTAGAAGAAATTTAGCTACTAATTCAAAATGTAAATTGTAAAGGATCAATTCATGCTCCCAAACCCTAGCTATATATATATATAAAAGGCAGATGGGATGAATGACCTGAATGATGCGTCGGAGGGGACGTTGGGGTCCTTTAGCAGCATGAGTGCCAAGCCAAGGAGTATGTCGCCAGACGATCTTGCCATCACTCCCTGCGATGACCTTATGTCCACCAACAACCAGCTCCAGCGACCACATGTCCGGAGACATTTGCCAAAGCACGAAGCAACCATTCTCTCCGCTCCTTGTCCCCAAGCTCTTCACGCTCTTTCCACACGAGATCTCTGTTTCACAGCAAATCATCTTCACCATGCCGCTACTGTACATGTTCTTCTTTCTATTTCTACCTCCTCCTCCTCCTGCTTTTTCCATGTCCTCCTGCTGCTGCTGCTTCAAACATCCACTTGCTGCCAAGTACTGCTGTATTATGTAATGCGCCGTAGACCTCTCCTTTTATCATTTATGTATGGTATACAACAACATATATCATTGATCATATACAGAAATGAATTCATAACCCTAGTATATAAATAAATATACGACTTACAATTGGTATGTCTTTGATGTGAAGAGGAGGGCGATTAATGGAGTTTTCCAGTAGTACTAAAGGAATTGGAGCGAGGGGGCAAGCCAACACGCCGAGCAAAAGTCTCAAATCTTGTCTCTTGGCCGGAATAGTAGCTGTACCGTACATTGACATCGACACTGACATTGATGAAGAAGAAGAAGAAGAAGAAGAGAAGCTGCTGCTATTGATTCTCTGCAACCGGAACCATTCTCGAATGACTTCCCATGAACTATCTTTTTTGCTAAATATTCCACCTTCATCATGATCTTGCATTTCCATATCCGGTCCCTCCATTAGAGGGGTCAAAGGCTGCGCACACCAGTACATTTGCTGCTGCTGCTTCCTGCTTCGACCTCTCGACGACGCCATTAATTTCCTCCTATTAATCAACTTACTAAAAGAAGATCCCACTATATACAAGCTAGCTAGGTGAGTAATATACAAGATGAGCTATGGAGGGAGAGGAGAGATTTGCAGAGAGAATAAAAAAGAGAGGGTGAAGTTGCTTTGTCAGAAGATACAAAAGAGAGAGACAGTCCATCTGTCCAACGCAGACAGAAAAAGATACTCCTAATACTAATAGATCATATCACGAGAAATACTAATTAATAGATCAGCAAATGCGTCATAGTTTTATTTTTTTATTTTTATTTTTTATTTATTTATTTTTTTTGACATTTGACGTTGTGAATAATCCTGAAACTATGTTTCATTATGGTTCGTCATGACTAATTATCCTATGTACTGTCTCATATTAATTGCCCGTATAAAAATTTTTGACTCATAATTTTTATGAGTCGAAGTTAGCAAAATAAATATCTAATACGGGATAGAATAAAAAATTAAATATGATTAAAAATGGTTACTCAAAAATAAAATGTAATAGTAAGTCAAAATTTTTGAAAAATGAACAACTTTTGTAAAAGAAAGGTCTATCACTCCCACTTATATATGTTTATTTTGCGTCAAAAAATTATAAGCTTTATTCAACTTTTTAATAATATATTGATATGTCATGGATTGATTGGCCGGACGAATAATCCCCACACCATATAATAATTCTCACATATCAGTGATGTCACAAACTCAATTGCATATCTTTTACAACTTTATTCGATCTTCCTTTTAGACAACTCATGTCGTTTCTTTTTATATTTTCTCACTTAAGCACACTCCAAATGAGAGAGGTAGGTCCCAGGAGGATATATTACTTTTCTCAGTTAATTACCGTAATACCCACTTCAAAATATTCTTGTTAGTATTTCTAATTGAATAATCTCTTTCTAACCGAATAGCATCTTCTAGTAAATTATATTAAAAAAAGGAGTGTAACATCCACATGGACTGGCTACCTTTAATTCTTTGGGATGATGAGATTATATATATATATATATATATATATATAGTTTATATGCACCTACAAATGACATGATGGGCCGGCTTACTTAATGGAAGATGCGAGATGGTTATAAAATGCAAAATTGAGGAAAAGGTGGAGAGTCGGACTGATGAGCGGCAGTGGAAGTGGTGGCCGAGCGGATGAAGGATGGCGACAGATGCATGGGTGATCTTCCAAGCCAAGCTTCAAATTGCAACTTTAAAAATTGAGGTTGAACTGTTTCTTTCATATATGGTTTGTTTTGGGTGCACCCAATATTTGGACATGTCACGCCTGCTCCTCACGACACGTGAAATAACTTTAAAACGCAATAAATAAATAAATAATTTCCCACCCAGACCACCAAGCGTCGCCATTCTAGCTTGTCTAGTTTTCTCAGAGCCTATCACTAGCAAATAATTTTTTAAAAAATGGGGTGAGCTACACGAGGCCCAGTATATTTTCAGAATTGATATTAAACAAAATTTTAAAATGAATTTTTTTTTTTTTTTTTTTATAAAAAAAAATAGATTACTTTTGATGGAGAACAAACTACTTAAGTCAATTAAATGAAAGTAATACTTTGGCACTTTTTAGAAAACGAATGGAACGAATGGAAACAAGTATCTGAATCCGTATAGAGAAATAACAAATGAGAGGAGTGCTAACTTGAGCGACTGCAGTAGCATAGTTGCCCAGGTGTCAGCAGCATGAGCTCTCTCTCATTTTTTTTTTTTTTTTTTCTTTTTTTCCTTGGTCTTCTTCTGTAATGATCCAAATCTGGGGGTCGAGACCGCTACTCTGATCCTTACCTGAACTTGAAGTCATATAAGGGTATTATGGTCATTTCCCATCAATATAGTGATTCTAGAATCCCCAATGGTAAAATAGACTTTTGGCATGGTCATAAATGGCTTGGGGCTCAAAAAGGGTAAAACTATCATTTATTAGGGTCATTCAATGATTAGAAACATGTTTAGGGTAAATAAGTAATTATACTAAAGCCTGAGTTAAAATGCAAATACTGGACCATCTGTGCCCACGAGTCATCCTATCAGTAAGATGGTATTACAGTGAAGACAACAAACTGCAGGGAACCATCTACGCACACACATGAGGGGATCTGTGCGTACAGATGCCCATCTGTGCACACACATGGAATGATCTGTGTGCACACTTCAGAGGATCTGTGCGCATGGATGGGATCGAGATTTGGCCAGAATCACCCACTACTAGGCCCATCTCACCAATAAGATCGGGGCATCTGACCGGTCAGATGGTGCCCAAATCTGATCTGATCGTTCAGATCACTTCCTGAGCCTACTTCAATGCAATTCTAAGGCAACCAATGTACATGTTTGTTGATTGATTTGTTAGCAAGTTGATTTCATTTGTATGAAATGACTTGGTTGCGGTGATTCTTGTTTGCGTGTGTTGTGTATTTAGTTGTTTAATTAATTAATTTATTTAAGTTTAATGACGGGGTTGAAATGTCTGGACCAAAGGATTTGGTCTTAGGTTAGAAAGAAAAGCCTTAAAGGTTTTGGGATGGTTTATTTCCCATAAATGTATGATTTTATATATATATTTTAAATTATATATTTATATAGAGATATTTAATTTACATAAGTATATATATACGTATAACTAATAAAGTCAATATCTTATAAGAATTAAAGTTGGGAGTTATGTATATATATGGAAATAATATATATATATATAGTAGCATTATTATAGATTATTATGACATTATATATTACATAAAATATATATTTATATAGTAATTATATGTGTATAGGACGTATATGCATAAATATATATATATATATATATATATATATATATATATCTGTGTGTGTGTGTGTGTGTGTGTGTGTGTTAGTTAAAAAGAATTTATAAATATATATTACATAATATATATTTATATTTATATGTTGAGTTGTTGACTATATATATGTAAATATATATTTGGGTGTGAGTTATATAGTCAGATATATATATATATATATATATATATATATATATATATATATATATATATATAGAAGAGAGGGAGAGATCTATCAAGAGAAAGAGAGAGAGAGAGAGATGCCGAGAGAAGAGAGATATGGGTGGAAAAAGAAGAAGGAAAGAAAGAAGAAGGAAAAGAGGAAGAAGTGTGACGACTCGAATTTCAAGAACTCTGTGCGTCTGTAAGTAACCCGAAAACTGATCCGATAACGAATCCCAAACATGGAAGCAAGAAAAAGAGAAGGGGTCTCTAGAAATGGATACCATCTCTAAGACTCCAAATTGACCTTCTAAAAAATTACGAAACTCAAAAAGAAACAAATGCGGAAGCTAGGGTTTAAAATGGACAAGGTATTGAACTAGGGTTAAAATGGTCATTTCAAGTAGAAATGGATGCTACCGTGCATACCATTGGATAGGCAATAAAAAATTAATAAATGTAGACTCAAAAATCACTTGATTTGAAGTTAGAACGAATAAGATATGAATTTATGAAGTTTTACAAAAAAGTTGTCAAAATGTGCCCAGGTACGATCGATCCAAACCATTTACGATCGATCGTGAATTTTATGACCGATCCAAAATCTCAAGTTGTGCAGGTACGATCGATCCAAATCATTTATGATCGATCCAACTAGGCTACTAATGATTGGATTTGAAACTCATTATATATTAGCATGAATGAATTTTCTATGTTGACAAGTTTGTAGTAGCATAGTTTCATTCACATTGTGAACTTATCATTGCAAGGGCCATTGTAGTTTTGAAAACTTAGAGTATGGATTATGTGATTACATATTTAAGGCTTACAATACTAGTGTGATTAAATCCTTATGTAAATAACATAATGTTAGTTTAAGTGTGTACAAATCAATGACTTGATTGAATGGGTTTTGAGTAGTCTATATTGTTTTAGCATTGAAGAATTATTGATGTATTTTCCATGTGGGTGGATCATGGTGTGTATGCCACTTTGGCCTTAGGAGCATAGTGGTCATCATTTGTTCATTTATTCATAAGATTATAAGTTGTGTGTGTACGATATGCATGACATGATTGAAGGATAGAAACTATCTGAACTTGAGAAGTGGACATTGAGTGCAATGACTAAAATTCCCTATTCACACTATGGGGTGCGGAAGTGCACTAGTTGTTTAATCATATAAGATATCCAGTATAACATCACATTGGATCATGGAGTCACATACGTGAGTTACATTATAGCGGAGTTTATGTGTGGGTTGAGTTATAGTTTTTGGAGCGGTGTAAACTTTATTATCCTTCTAGCTTTGTGGTAGTAGTAGTAGTTGTTGTTGTTGTTTTTTTTTTTTTTTTTTTTGCAAGCATATTCCTATTGTTTAATTGCGTTACTTATTGTGGATTGTGTTTAAAATGTTTCAACGATAACTAGAGGATGATCCCTTAGCTTCACCTTTAACTTAGACGTTAGGAGGCATGATCCATGTGTATTCGTTTATATTACACTTGCAAAACCATTAAAACTTTAGGTTAGACGTGCATACGTGTGATACCCCTCGGATCCGAGATACGGGTTGATCAGGCCCGGGCCCAAACCCGAGGGAATATCTAACAATTAATATTTTATAACGAACACAGAATACAAAACGAATTAAGAAATAAAGTTTAAACTCAAAGAAACTAAAATAAGATCATCAAATAACAAAGATTAAAATAATCCAACTCCAAAACCTCCAAGGGTATAACTCGGGAATCCATCTCTAGTGGACCTCTAATAATAATCCAAACAGTAAAAAGAACAACTGATAAGACATCCAGAAGCAAGCTATGAAGAGAAGTCCTACATTGTCAGTAGAGTGAATAAAATCTCTGCTCAGCACGAACACGTCTAAGTCTGGAACTGTCGTGTACCTGAAAAATAGAAGTGGGTCAGGCCCACGAACAAGTTCTATCCTACTATAATCCAAGCAGAGACTTGATACGCATGTACATCCTAACCAATTCAACAATAGCTAATAGTCCGTAAATATATATATAGTCACACTAAAGGACTCTCACTGAACTACAGGCCGGTCTCAACCTGAATAGAGGCAACATGCTAAAACGTACACAAAGTGGGCATGTGTACCTAAACCTAAACAGGGTACACCTCTAACCGTCGTATCCAGCTATGCATCCCAATGCATATACGCTC